GGGGCAGGGTGCCGTCAGCAGGTCAATCTGTACCTGTGAGGCGAGTGCATCAGCAGCCTGATGGCACTTTCAGACTTCCAGATACCCCAAAATTGCTACCGTGCCTTTGGCCAGAACCCAAAAACTTGGGGCAAAGTTTAACAAGAAAGTAGCACAGCACACAGCACAGTCCTCCCGTTGTTCATCGATTTGTTCGAGCGGGCCCAGTAACATTGTGAGACTTGTTACTGTGTTTGGCATATCAAATATGTCACAGGGAGCTTGCCAGGCTTTGCTGTGCAGGTGAGATACTCTCGGTAGCTTGCCGGGCTCTCCGAGAGGGGCGGAGGAATCAAACTCGGGTCGGCCATGTTGGCTGCGTGCAAAGCAAATGCCCTACCCACTGTGATATCGCTCCAGCCCAACAAGAAAGTAAACGACCAAAAGTTAGGTACGTGGGAGACACACCCACAAACCACCTCCAGTTCAGCTATATAATTGGAGGCATGGCCTCTCTGGTTCCTGATCGAACTGCTTAATGGCCATGATCCCAGAGGTTCAGAAACAAATCTTGAAAACCAGTGGCTTTTGGCAGAAATGCACCCAGACCGCGTAGTAGGTTACTGTCACCGGGTCACCCCAGGGGGGAAAGGGTGCTCTCCCTCTGCCTGCTCCCCCTTGGTGGCTCGGTGGCTGCCATCCACCAGAGGCCATTGGACAGTTAGGTTTGGGCCTTCAATGACGAGACACGTGGGGCCTCACAGGATGGGTGTGGAGCTGGGCCTTTCCCCCCACCACAATGAGACCCCAAGTCGCCACCCACAAACGGCCTCTCTGGCTCCTGATCAAGCCGTTTAATGGTCATGATCCCAGAGACTCAGAAACAAATTGCGGAACCCAGAGGCTTTTGGCAGAAATGTGTCCAGTCCCTGCAGTAGGTTACTGGCTCTGGGCCACCCCAGGTGGGAATAGGTTTCGTGCCTTGACCTGTTCCCCCTGGCAGCCCCGTGGCTACCATCCTCCAGAGGCTACTTGGACAGTCAGGTTTGGGCCCACAGTGACAAGACACACGGGGCCTCATGGGATGGAGGTGGCGCCAGCCCTTTCCTCCCCATCCCAACAAGACACCGAGTTGCCGCCCTCAAATGGCCTTTCTGGCTCCTGATCAAGCTGATTAATGGCCATGATCCCAGAGACTCGGAAACAAGTCTTGAAACCCAGCGGCTTTTGGCAGAAATGTGCCCGGACCACACAGTAGGTTACTGTCGCCAGGCCACCCCAGGAGGGAAAGGGTGCTCTCCCTCCGCCTGCTCCACCTTGGAGGCTTGGTGGCCACCATCCTCCAGAGGCCATTGGACAGTCAGGTTTGGGCCTGCAGTGACAAGACACGTGGGGCCTCATGGGATGGGGATGGAGCCGGCCCTTTCCTCCCCATCCCAAAGAGACCCTGTGTTGCCGTCCACAAATGGCCTTTCTGGCTCCTGATCAAGCTGCTTAATGACCCTGATCCCAGAGACTCAGAAACAAGTCTCGGAACCCAGTGGCTTTTGGCAGAAATGCATCTGGACCACGCAGTAGGTTACTGTTGTTGGGCCACCTCAGGGGGGAAAGAGTGCTGTCCCTCTGCCTGCTCCACCTTGGCGGCTTGGTGGCCGCCATCCTCCAGAGGACATTGGCTAGTCAGGTTTGGGCCTTCAGTGATGAGACACGTGGGGCCTCACGGGATGGGTGTGGAGCCGGGCCTTTCCTCTCTGTCCCAAAGAGACCCCGAGTTGCCGCCCACAAACGGCCTTTCTGGCTCATGATCAAGCTGCTTAATGGCTGTGATCCAAGAGACTCAGAAACAAATTTTGGAACCCAGCAGGTTTGGGCAGAAATCCCTCCAGATTTAATTGTTAAAATTTTGCAATTTCAATATCGCACAGCCACTACTGCAACCACGCAACATCATATGTTATTCATAACCAGCAATAGAAAACAAATTGTCTACTGTTGCCTTTTCATCAGATCTGAGTGTTGGGAGTAAAATCCCAAATAATAATGGTGGGTCTGGTGTCAAAATATTGAACGTAATCAAAGTAGAGAGAGAGAGTAATGTGGAGGTCATCTGCCCCACAGGTAGGGGGAGGGTGTGGGATGGGGATATACTGGGATTTTTGGGGGTGGAGAATGGGCACTGGTGAAGGTACGGGTGTTTCATTGTATGACTGAGACTTAGACCCAAAAGTTTTGTGATTCAATAAATAAAATTATAAAAAATGAAGAAAAAAAAGTAAGGTGGAGTTCATGCTCAATTCAATCAGTTAATCAGTGGCTGAATAAATAGCAATACTCTTACATAAAAAATATAAATAAATAAATAAATAAATAAATAAATAAATAAAAGACCTAAATGGGGGGCTGGAGCAATAGGACAGTAGGGAAGGTACCCACCTTGCACAAGAGGTTGACCCAGGTTCGATCATAGCGCCCCATATGGCCCCCCAAGCACCATCAGGAGTGATTTCTGATTGCAGAGCCAGGAGTAATTTCTGAGCAACAGCAGACGTAGCCCAAAAGCTAAAATCACTATCACTGTCACTGTCCTACCATTGTTCATCGATTTTCTCAAGCGGGCCCAGTAACGTCTCTATCGTGAGACTTTGTTTACTGTGTTTGGCATATCAAATACGTCACAGGGAGCTTGCCAGGCTCTGCCGTGCAGGCAAGATACTCTCGGTAGCTTGCCGGGCTCTCCGAGAGGGGCGGAGGAATCGAACTCGGGTCGGCCATGTTGGCTGCGTGCAAGGCAAACACCCTACTGCTGTGCTATCGCTCCAGCCCACAAAAGCTAAAATAATAATAATAATGATGATAATGATAATAATACTATTTTTAAAGACCTAAACTGTTTTGCTTAAGATATATCCTTGTCTTGGAGTTTTAGTTACAGGGACAATTTCCCACAGGAATGCAAGATATCAGAAGGGGAGTACCTAGATTACCATTGATCTTAGATTCTAGAAATGAGAAGGGCAGGAAAGGAAAGAAATTGAGGGGGAAGTAAGAAGTGAAAGCGAGATAACAAGGTAGGAGTCAGGGGCCTCAAGTGCATTGGTGGTGTAGAGGTGTGGTTTATGTCCATACCTTAACCACTGAGGCAATAACACTGTAAGAATGAGACCCAACAATAGTTGGAAGCTTACCACAAGTTGGGGGGGGGCAAAATTGGGGGAGGCAAAGGGCAATTAGGATAGAGAGGGGACTAGTATGACAATAATAGTTAGAAATGATCACTCTGGACAAGAACTGAGTGTTGAAAGCAGGTAAAGGGATACACATGATAAGCTTTCAGTATCTGTATTGCAAACAGATAATGCCCAACAGGAGAGAGAGAGAGAGAGGGAGAGAAGAGAGAGAGAGAGAGAGAGAGAGAGAGAGAGAGAGAGAGAGAGAGAGAGAGAGAGAGAGAGAAATGCCTGCCATGGGCAGGAGGGAAACTGGGGAAATTGGTGGTGGGGAATGTACACTGGAGAAGAGATGGCTGTTAGAATGTTATATAACTGAAACACAGTCATGCACAACCTTGTAATTGTGATTCAATCAAAAAATTGTTTTTAATTATAAAAAAGGAGACCCAAACTACAACCTAACTTTAAAATATGGGGGGCTAGAGTGATGGGACAATGGGTAAGGTGTTTGCCTTGTATGCGGCTACCATGGGTTCAATCCCTGGCATCCCATATGGAGGCCCAACCCCATACTCCTGAGTGCAAAACCAGGAGTAAGCCCTGAGCACCACTGGGTGTGACCAAAAACCAAAAACTAAAACCAAAAAAATACAAACAAAACTATTGTGTCTGCTAAGGACACAGGCTGTGGAGTGGAAGGGAACCTGGGGACATTGGTGGAGGGAAGTTGATAGGGGAGGTGGAATTGGTGTTTGAACACTGTAGCACTGTCCTCTCGTTGTTCATTGATTTGCTCGAACAGGCATCAGTAACATCTTCATTGTGAGATTTGTTGTTACTGTTTTTGGCATATCGAATATGTCACCGGGAGCTTGCCAGGCTCTGCCATGTGGGCGGGATACTCTCAGTAGCTTGCAGGGCTCTCCGAGAGGGGCAGAGGAATTGAACCCGGGTCTGCCACGTGCAAGGCAAACGCCCTACCTGCTGTGCTATCGCTCCACCTGTTGGAACATTGTATGCTTGAAAATCAACTATAAATAATTTTGCATATGGTATCTCAATTAAAAAAATTTTTAAAGGTGATGTGGAGTCCATGAAGTCCAATTCCACAAAGTATACAGTAGTGGAGGGAGAGGTAAGGAGAGGAGATTAAGCCCCATCTCTCTCAGGAAAACGCAGGAATTGCCATATAGACCCTCAAGAGGGATGAGGAGACTATGGGTCAGGCCATGACCCCAAAGAGCTTGGCTGTTATTTTCATTCTTCCAGGAATCAGGTTCCCTTCTCATCCCCCATCTCCTTAGACTCACAGGCACCACAAGAAGAAACAGAATGAGGAGACACTACCTTCCTTTGCTTGCTCCCAAATTTATTTTGGTGACCTTTACTCTAATATTGCTTACAAATGTCCCTGACAATCTGAATTTGTTGAACAAACAACTGCTTTGGAAAAGTTCCCCCCACCCTGCCCCCGAGGAAAGTTTGTCCCTTTGGGCCTGAATTCCTGTGCCCTACCTCCCTACTCCTTTCCAAATGGTCAAAGGCTCCCAAGGGAAGACTCCCTTTCCCCTGTCCCAAGCCACATGGAACCCAGGACATGGCTCTCTACTTGTCAGTGACCCTTAGAAAGTTCTAGAACTAGTTGACCAGTTGTGTGGAGGTTCCCTTTCCTTCAGAATCTCTCACTTCGACTGCTTCTTAGGGTGGTCCCCTGCTGTGATTGAGGGGAGGAAGGCTCCACACATGTGAGGTCAATCTATCCTTCACTGCACAAGTTCCAAGCTTCTCACTTAAGAGAAATTCTTCTCTCTTTCTTGCCCAGGTCTCCTGGTCACCAGCCCACAGTAGTTCCTAGAGTCTAGAGCTCTCTGTGTTGGACACTTCCTGCTGCTGTCCCTCTGCCTTTGTCTTCTTGCTCAGCTTTACATCGTTCTTCTGTCTCTCAGGAATGTAGGTCAACCCCCTCAGCAGCCCATGGACTTGAGCTTGAAACTGAGAGGATGAGAAGTAGTAGACAAGAGGGTCGATGCAGGAGTTCAGGGTGCTGAGCAGCAGCACGTAACTTCTCCATGGTGGGCTGCAATGCCAGAAAAAGCCCACAACATGGGACACGGCAAAAGGCCCACAGAAGATGAGAAAGTTGAGCAGCGTGGCCACCACCAGGCCGGCCACCCTCCTTCTTAGGTGACGTCTAGATCCCTTACTGAGCAGCCAGAGTAAGTGGCTGTAGCAATAGACAGTGATGAGAAAGGGTACAAAAAACAAAACCACGGCAATCTCAAACCGGACTGGCAGGAGAATCGACAGCTGGTCCTCCTGGAATTCCAGATAGCAGGTCTTATTGATGTGGGAGGAGTTTCCTGAGTATTCCACAATATAGATCACACTGCAGTGAGAACAGGACAGCAGCCAGCAAACCCCGCTGACCAGCACTGCCTGTCTCAGCCGAGGCCGGCTCTGGTACCATACCGGGTAGGCCACGCTCAGGAAGCGCTCAACACTCACAGCAGCCAGGGACAGGGACGTGACATAAATGGTGGTAAAGAACAGGAATCTTGAGAAGGGGCAGAGGGAGGCGGGCAGAGGCCAGCGCATTTTATTGGCCACCTCCACCATGCGGATGGGCAGGAAAAGAAGCAGGATGAGGTCCGAGATGGTCAGGTTGAGCAGGAGCATGTCCACGGCCACCACGCGGTGACGCAGCTTACCCACAAAGATCACCAGGGCCAGCAGGTTCAGGGGGAGCCCCACGAGGAAGGAGAAGAGGTACACGGAGAATTGGAGCCAATGGTTGCCACTGTCGGAAAAGCTGCCACAGCTTGTGTTCATGCTGATGGTCACTGGCAAGAGAGAGAGAGAGAGAGAGAAAGAGAGAGGCAATTCTAGGGCAGATGCTGTCACCAGTCACATAGCAGGGGATGTTGCCATAACCTACAGCCCCCATGAACTCCTTATGTCCCCTGATGTTTCCCAGCAGTGTCAGATGGCCTGGTCTGGCCTTTCTCCCAATAAAGCAAACACCAAGTGCCCCGGTACCATCCCACAGGCTTGTGCTTACCTGCTTTGTCCCTAAGTGCCTTGACACTCAGCATCACACAGGCTCCTCCAGAACAAATGTGATCAGCTAGTTACTCATCAGCAGACCTGATAACCACCTGGCGGGTCACGTGACATCACCCACTTTCATGTCTGTCTTCTCTTTCCGGAGCTGTACCTATATGCAAAATGAGGAGCAAATTCCATGGCTGGGCTCTTCTGGCACTCCTGATGGTGGCTCGACCAGGGCCAAGCAGGCATTGCTTTTATGCCCTGACCTCCATCTGAAATTATTATTATTATTATTATTATGGTTTTGGGCCACACTCAAGGCTTACTCCTGGCTCCAAGCTTTGGAATCGCTTCTGGTGGGCTTGGGGACCATATGGGGTTCTGACAATCAAACCCAGGTGGACTGTATATAAAGCAAGTATACCCTAATCACTGAACTATTGCTCTGGCACTGAGTTTGTCATCTTTTAATACTTCCAATTCCATTGCCTTGGTTTTCTATGGGCTGGAGCGATAGCACAGCAGGTAGGGCATTTGCCTTGCATGCATTTAACGTGGCCAACCCGAGTTCGATTTCTCTGTCCCTCTCGGAGAGCCCGGAAGCTACCGAGAGTATCTCACCTGCACTGCAAATCCTGGCAAGCTACCCGTGATGTATTCGATATGCCAAACACAGTAACAACAAAGTCTCCAATGGAGACGTTACTGGGCCCGCTAGAGAGAAATCGATGAACAACGGGACGACAGTGGTTTTCTATAGGTCACAGATTAGTGAGATCATTCAGTATTTATCCTTTTCCCCCTAACTTGCTTTACTGGACATGATATCCTTCAGTTCCATCTAAATTGCAGTGAACTGCATAATTTAATTTTTTTTCTTATGGCTGCATAGCATTACACCATGTACTTATACCACAATTTATTTAATCTATTCATATATTATTGAACATTTGAGTTGTCTATCATACTAAGAGCTACAGTGAGCATAGATGTGCACAGATCTCATAAAATTAATGTTCTTGTTCTTTGGGAGTAAATACCAAGAAATAGAATTGCTGGATTATATGGAAGTTCTATTCTTACTTTTTTTTGAGAAATACGCATTGTTTTCCGAGAGTCCGAACCAGGCGACATTGGCAGCAACAATGAATAAGGAATCCCTTTCACCACATTCCCACTAATACAGATTATTTCCAGTCCTTTTTGTATGCATATACCAATCTCACTGATGTGAGAGATAGAGTCTCATTGTTGTTTTGATTGACATTTCCTCATTAACATATGGCCACAAATTTTTTTCTGATACACCTCTTGACTATCCATATGTCCTCTTTTGGGAAGTGTCTGTTCATCTCAATCCCAATAGGTATATTGGGAATTTTCCTGAGTCCAGTTTGTGGACTTGCAAATGTTTTGTGTGCATTTGAGGAAAATGTCAATTGTTTCTGGCATCCAGGCCTCCTGGATATTCCCAGTGTCCACTGTGCTGAATTTCACATGGCGCACCAAATGCACTGTGTTTGCCAAAACAATCACAAAGGCCAGAACCCCAATACAAGCTTGAGTCCATTGTCAACAGAGGGGGTACTCCTAACTCAGCCTCTCCTCCTTCACAGATCACTTGACCAGGAAAAACTTCCACCCTCCTGTCTATCACCAGTTGCCTCTGTGAAGACCCTGCTAATCCTTTAGCAGCAAGTATAACTCCAAAAATATTTTTAGTATAGTGTAAGACAAAATGATTTTAATACTATTGATGGGGTTTTTTTTTTTTTGGTTCTGATGTACAGCTATTGTATCACTACCAAAGTACCCGCATCCTCCACTGTTGCCTTTTTAAAATGATTTATGGGTCCAGAGCAATAGTATAGCAGATGGGGCATTTGCCTTGCATGTGGCCGACCTGTATTGGATATACAGCACCCATATTGTCCCCTGAACTCACAGAAGTGATGCCTGAGTGTAGCGTGAGGAGTAAATTTAAAATTTTTTTTTTTATTATTGAGCCAAAAGTCAGTAGAATGGCTGAGGGGCTTGCTCTGGACTAGGCTAGCCCTAGTTCAATTCTTGACACCCCTTGAGGACCCCCAAACCCCCACCAGAAGTGATCCCTGAGTGCAGAAACCCTTAGCATGGCCGAGTGTCACATAAAAACAAACAAAATGAATGATTATACATTAGGTATGTGTTCACGATAGTGTTGCTGTGTACTGCTTTGATGTCACAGTTATCGAATGTCCCTGGCACCAGAAGTGCCCATGGTCTCCCACCACTGCCTTTGTTGATTATTTTGATAAAAATAAAAGCGAACATGGTTCCTGTCTCCCCCCTGCCCCCGCCTCATGCAATACCCTTATTTAGCTTATTTAAGCTCTCAAGTGCCAGTTATCTTAAGGTAATACAAAGTCAGCTGTGAGACTAATTTTCCTAATTTATTGTACAGAGGGTTTCTCTTGGAGGGGGGTTGCACACAGATGATGGGGCTGCTTTGCATATCCTTCCTTTCCTCATAGTGGCCCACTGACCTTTGTCCTGCTCAAGTATCTAAACTGTGGTGGAGCTCGATCCCTCCGGAGGACACACAGCACCCCGAGGGGACCATGGAGTCCATGAGCTCTAGCTAAGGTTGTGAGCACTGAGTAGCAAAAGGAGACTCAGGACCGGCCAGCGACCCTCAGCAGGGCTGAGGGGACACAGGGTCAGGCCAAGTCCCTAAAGACTTTGCATTTATTTTCACTCTTCTAGGCACCCAGGTGCTCAGCCCTTTCCCCTGGGGCCAGCACCTTTCCCTTCCCACTCCCCATCCCCCCTGACACACACACACACACACACACACACACACACACACACACACACACAAACACACCAGGAGAAGAGGCAGAATGAGGAGACACCACCTTCCTTGGTTTGCTACCACATTTATTTTGATGACATTTCTTCTGTTATTCCTTGCAATGTTTCTGACAATCCGAATTTGTTGGACAAGGAGAACACTTGGGAAAAGTTTCCATGAGGGAGGACAGACTGTCCCTTTGGGTCTGAAGTCCTGTGCCCCATGTTCCTCCCTACCCACTCCTCACCTGCTGGGTCAGTGGCCACCATGGCCGTTCTCTCCCTGTCCAGTATCCCAGGCCACAGGCTGCCCCCTTGCACATAGAACACAGCTTTACACTTCTCTTCCATCTCCTTGGCTGACAAGCTGTGTGGGGGGTTTCATTTCTTCTGTCTCTCACTTTGCTACTGGAGTGGCCCCAGGGACGGGGGCAGGAAGAAGCAGCTTGGGTAAGATCCGGATTGGGAGCCGGTGATTACACTGATTAACCCCACCCCTCACCACACGAGTCCCCAACTGGTCCCTTCAAGGCCCGGCCTGCCTTGAGCAGGGAACCGTCTGGCCCCTGGGTCACTTCCCTACTGATTCTTTTTCTACCAGATTCCGTTTATATGAATGTTGAAGTTCTCCTGATACTGCTTCTCTCTCTCTCCATCACATCCCTCAGCTTTCCACTGTGCCCCTGAGACCCGGCCAGTCTCTTCAGCAGCCCATGGACTTGAGCTTGGAACTGAGAGGAGGAGAAGTAGCAGACGAGAGGGTCAATGCAGGAGTTCAGGGTGCTGAGCAGCAGCACGTAACTTCTCCACACAGGGCTCCGACCCTGGATATAGCCCACGACATGGGACACGTTGTAGGGTCCAAAGAAGATGAGAAAGTTGAGCAGCGTGGCTGCCACCAGCCCCGCCACCCTCCTCCTCCGGCGGCGGCTGCATCCCTTACTGAGCAGCCAGAGTAAGTGGCTGTAGCAATAGACGGTGATGAGAAAGGGTATGAAAAAAAAGATCGCTGCCACCTCCAAACGGACAGGCAGGAGGAGAGCTAGTTGATGAGTCCGGAACTCCAGGTAGCAAGTGCCATTGCTTCCTTGACCATGGGAGGAATGTCCAGAGAATTCCACGATATAGATCACACTGCAGTGAATACCAACCAGAAACCAGCAGGCCCCACTGACCAGCACTGCCTGTCTTGGCCTGGGCCGGCTTTGGTACCATACCGGGTAGGCCACGCTCAGGAAGCGTTCAACACTCACAGCCGCCAGGGACAGAGACGTGACATAGATGGTGGCAAAGAACAGGAATCTTGAGAAGGGGCAGAGGAAGGCTGACAGAGGCCAGAGCATGCCGCTGGCCGCCTCCACCAGGCGGAAGGGCAGGAAGAGAAGCAGGATGAGGTCCGAGATGGTCAGGTTGAGCAGGAGCACGTCCACGGCCACTGCGCGGCGCCGCAGCTTGTCCACGAAGATCACCAGGGCCATCAGGTTCAGGGGGAGCCCCACGAAGAAGGTGAAGAGGTACACGGAAAAGTGGAACCAGTGGCTGCCATGGGAGGATGGTTGGTCCGAGCTTGTGTTCATGCTGATGGCCTCTAGAGAGAGAGAGAGAGAGAGAGAGAGAGAGAGAGAGAGAGGTGATTCTGGGCAGACGGTTCAGCTGTCACATCCTCTGTAGTGTAGGGGACCTCGCCAGTCCCCTCCTCTTACTGCCTTATGTCCCCTGATGCTCTGCCATTAGTGCCAGTCGGCCGGAGTGCTGTCCCTTTTCCCAATAAGGCAAGCACCAAAGTGTCCTCCACACCCTCCCTCAGGCTCGGTGCTCACCCGCTGTGCTGAGCTCCAGTGTGCCCTGCCACTGAGCACCGTGTGGGGCACCTCCAGAGCCAGTGTGGTCTGCCCCTTATGTCTCAGCAGGACTAATAAAGACCAAGCAGGTCACGTGACATCATCAACTCTGAGCAATTGCCATGAAGAGATGCTTCTTTAGCTCCGTGGCCAGGGCTGCCCCGGTATGCGAAATGAGAAGCAGCTTTACCAGGTCCTCATCTCGCCTCTGATGGGGAGCCTATGTAGGCCAGGAAGATTTCCGCTCCCCGCTGCACTTGGTGTTTCTGTTTGTTTTGTTTTAGGGCGTGCTCAGGGTTACTCCTGATTCTGTGCTCAGGGATCACTCCTGGTAGGCGTGGGGGGCCATATAGGATACCGGGGATTGAATCTGGGTCGACCATGTGCGAGGCCCTACTCACTGCACTATGGCTCCGGCCCCTGCTTTTGGCTTTTATCTGCCCCCCTAGAAAGATGCTTTTCCACTTTACCTTGTAAGTGCAGGAAGCATGAAGAGAAGGCAGGGGGTCGACAATGAGGGCCCTAGAGCCACTTTCTAACTGTGATTCAGAGAAAATGACTCACTTCCTGTATCTGTTTTCTCTTGTGTAAAACAGGGATCACTGGGGCAGAGAGGGCTTTCCCTGTAAAGTATTTCAGACGCTGGAAAAAAAATCTCAGCAGGGATGTTGCCAGCCTCTATGATCACTGTGGCTCAGAGGACAATTTGTTTGTGAAACCAGAAATGCACAAGAGAATGTAAAGTGGCCCTCAAATGATCCGTGGCCCCAGAGGAATCCCCTTTGGCCATCTGCAGAACTAAAAGTCTGAGAAGTTGAAATGCAAACGCCTCATTTAAAGCAAAGACCTGTTTGTTTAGACTAATCTGAAAATTACCAATTAGCTTCATTGAGTCAGTGTTTTCCTCTATTTGCTGCATCTCCTGTTTCTGTTTTTTTCCAACAAAATAAGCAAAAATCCCTAGAAACAAATTTCCAATTTGAGCCTTGCTTCCTGTAGACTTGCTGGTAGACCACACAATTGTGTTTTAATTTCTCAAAAGCTTGAACCATAGTTTTGGCTTTGTGCCTGTTAGCAGAGATCCCTTGTCTGATAACATTACTGTGTCCCAAATGCTTAGAACTGGATGCTGGCCTTTGGATCACTTAACATACTAGCGACTCTTCACTGTTGTGGTTACATCCCTGGGAGAGAGTAAAAGTAATGATGCTGATGAAGAGGTAGTATGGAGCTACCTTTGAATGCATCTATAACCCATGAAAGACTCAGATTTCTTCATTCTGCCTTGAAATTCTTATGTCCCACAGTAGGAAAGCAACTTGCTCCAAGTAATACAAACAGGTTAAGTTTCCCCTGCAAGGTTCAAACCCAAATTCTGTTCAACCTCAGAGATTATTTATGGATCTATTCAAATGCCTATGGTGCATAATAAGAAACAGTCCACACCCACTAGCATAACTTTAAGTAAAAAGAATGGTATAATGTCATCTGTGCACAAGGTTACAGAGAAACATCAGGGACTTATTCTCACTGCTGGTGATAATGTCTGGTTTCACAAACAAATTGTCCTGGAGACTGCTGACAATTTCTGAAAAATGTCATCGTAAATTTGCTGTGAAACCCAACTCCACGGCAGGTGTCGACTGCAGAGGAATGAAGTGTGTGTTCATGTAGTCCTGTTCACTCAGGTTCCTCTCTGGTCAGTCATGAGAGTCAAAAAAGTAGACATAGAGCCTGAAATCCCATCAGCTAGCAGAGGTATGAGACATGCAGAGGTGTGTTTCATTACAGTGCAATACTGTGTAGCAAATCATAAACATCCAAGGGTAAAGTCACCAGAATGAACCTCCAGAAAATTTTGCTAAGTGAAATAAGTCAGACTTAAGGGATCTTCTAT